AAGCACTTATAATTAAAAATAAAGTTATCATATTTTAGCCAAAGACATTTGTAACCTTTTGTATTACTTATACTCTCTAAAATGTTGTAAAAACTTTCTTTAAGGTACAAAATCCGTCCGAAAGTTGCCCACAATAAGGTGGCCGCCCGGCAGGCGCTCAAAATCAGACAGATCCCGGTGCAACAACTTAGCCACCCTGGTGCGCCCGCCGGTGGCGGACGTATGCGCAGTCTATACGGCGCTCCGGGGCAACAGCAACAACAACAGCAAAACTACGGCTCGTGGGACGCCCAGGCGGCGCAGGCGGCCCAAAACTACTACGGCGGACAACAGCAACAACAGGGCGCCTCCAACTATGGCTTCGGTATGAGCCCTCAGCAGCAACAACAACAACAGGCCGCTGCCAACTACTACGGCGGCGCCGGCCAACAGCAGCAAGGTGCTTTCCAGACCCAGGTCTTTGGCGGTGTGGGTCAGCAGCAACAACAACAAAATTATTACGATGATCCAATGAATTACGGGGCCCAAGCGCAGGGCGCCCAGGCTGCTAACTATGGCGCGGCCGCGTCGAGTGCCCAAGCTCAATCGCAAGCCCAAGCGCAAAATTACGCCGCCGCCGCCCAGGGTGCTCAATCGCAAGCTCAGGCACAAAATTATGCCGCCGCCGCCCAAGGTGCCCAATCCCAAGCCCAAGCTCAAAATTTTGCCGCTGCCCAGGCGGCCAATTATGGTAAACCCACCATCACTAAACAATGATGATGGTTGTTTGTGCGTGTTTGTTTTGTTGTAAGTAATTTGTTGTTGTGTTTTTTGTTGTTTTCCGTTTGACCAGGGTCCCGTGGTGGTATCGAGATAGCCGGCGACCCCAATAAGGGTAGTATATATGAGAAGTCGGCTGTCATGACACCCGACGGCCCTAAGGTTAAGAACCAATGGGTGCGTTCAGTTTATTCCGGCATTCATTATTATTATCTAGATACATTTTTGTAATAATTATACGCTTTAATTATTTATAATGTGTTTTAATTATATATTGTGGTGTTTTTTTTGTTTGTTTTGTATTTTAGGTTGGTGATACGGATTCTAAAGGATTGCCAAATAACTCGGGCAAAATTGGTCCCAATTAATAATTTTGATGTTTATAATTTTTTTAAATAATTGTTGTTATGTTTTATTTTAAGTTTGTTATTTAAATGTGTGTTTTATTTTTGTATTTTAATTTATTTAATAAGATAAAATAATAAAGAACATTTTGTTTAATTTAAGATTTACCTTAAAACTATTTAGATAACTGTACAAAATTATATGCACTGTACTAACTAACACTTCATAGTTATATACCCTGTTTAGTATTAATAATACAATAGAGAATTAGGTACATTATATATTTTACAGTAATTTAGTTTAAATACTTAATTAAGTTATAATTTATTACATAATTTGATCATAAGGTTTTAGACGTCACGGTTGGAGTAAAATTAAATAGAGTTGCCATCTGTTTATCAAAATGTTTTAAAAGAGTTTCAACTTATTTTGTAAGCAACCTTGCTCGGTAGATGGTAATATATAAAGGAATAGACTAGTTAATTAACTTAATAAATAATTTAACCATAATTATACGTCACTCAATCATTATAAGTGTAGTTTATATAACTTATATAATATAATTTATAATTATATTATATAAATATTGAATTTACAAAAACAAGTAAAAGTGCATAAAAATATAAGTAATACAGACTTTGAAACATGGATATTTTGTCTTTATTATATTAATTATTGATATTACTATATTATACAATATTAACCAAGGTAATGACAATTGTTTGTAAACATGTCCAATTTAGCATAAATATATAATTGTAATTTATTTAGTGACATCTCCATCAATAATCGACAAAAATAAAGCCCAAGAATGTCTAATTGAGACAAATGTTTATTATATGATAAAAAATCTAAAACCAAACAAATATATGGTTTGGTTTGAAGGGTACGGCACGTCATCCAAGGGGTCGGACAGTAATCTGGACGTAGAAAACAATGATAGAGTGAATGGCACTGCACTGGAACCTCAATACATCATTGATAAATCAATTGGATATATCAGCTTGAGGCTCTGGGTAAACTAATTTTAATAACTTAAATCAGTTATAAGTTAAAGACCCCCTAACTAAAAATCAGTTATGCTCATCGATGCCATGTTAAGGCCTTAGAGGCCTATTTTATAAATCAATTGCTGTGTAATTCATACTCTATTCAAGTGCTACTCATATATAGTATACACTAATATTAAAAGTGGGGTTTAAACTTATAACTTTTATTTTTCAACTCTAATAGTTTAATACAAACTTTTATAAAAGGGGAAACTCTGCTTTATAATTTGTAACGATTATTTTGAATGATAGTTGAAAAGTTAACTTGGTCATTCAATAACCACGTCATAATAAAAATGATTTTTCTCTATTTCATGGCAATCTTGGTTATGCTGAATTAGCCGGGTCTCTAAATATCAATAAATTCAATTCAATAACTCGGACAAAATTAGACTTAAATATCATTATTTTAATGTTTATAAATAAATAGTAATTTAAATTTTACTTAAGCATGTATGTTTTAGTTTGATGTAATTAAATTAATTTGTTTTGTTTGAATTAGAATAATCCATGCAATAATTTATTTCATGTACTAATCATTGTAAATGATTATGAACTTGATAAAAAAAAGTGCTGATACAAAATTAATTTTAGTTTACATAAACACATAATATACAAATTTTGCATAAAAATTGGTTACTTTTATAAGTGTGCTTATAATTATTTGTAAAACCTTCCTAGTATAATTGTTTTTTAAATGCAAAATTTAATAATTTACATATAAAGAATTTACATGAATAATAACACGTGATTAAATGTGCAACAAAAGTGTACATAAAATGTATAAAATCTGCATTTAAAATAGTTAATTACAATAAATTACAATAAAACTTATTATTTTCTAGTATAACTAACAATTTTCATATAAATCGTGATAAAGCTGAATGAGTCAATAATCATGTTTTAATTTGTTATTTAATCATGATAAATCATTGAATTGAATTTATTTTTATTTTTACACATAATGCATTTAAGCAAAGCTGATTTCTCATAAAAATATCCTGTAAATATACTGTATATTGTTAAATTAAATCCCAATTAAAAAGTATATAATTAACAACTAACAAGGATTTTATTGCAATGCAGTAAATTAAACTCAATTCGATAAATGATTTAAATTTTATCAAAATGTAATTTCTTGTAGAAGGAGGGGATGATAGAGTAATTCTATAAACTTTAATTTTTATACTAGATTGAGTTAAAAATTGTAAAAATTTGTAATTGGCATTTGCGTAATTATTATTACAAAATGTTATTTGCAACTGGTGCATTTGCACACCTTTACATCTTGTTGTTTTAGGTTAATGTAAAATATTGACTATTTGAGCAAATTATAATATGATTGATTACATTTAGCTATTTATCAAAGTTAATACATAGAGTGTTTACTATTAATGTTATTAATAAATTGTACCATAAAGCAGTATAGATATTATTATAGAAAATAGTTTAATCAAAATTCAAAAGAGAATTCAAAATTTTTAATATAATTCAACATGTTTAGTGAATTATCCAATAGATTTACTGTTGTATTATTATTAACAAACATTATATTTTTATGCGAATATAAACAAAGTAAATATATACATGGGCAATCGGGTTTAAATTGAAATTCTAATTATGTTTAAATATTTAAATAACCATTTCATAAATACCTTGATCAATTTACTTATAGTAACCGCCACTCCAATGCCTATCATTGACTTTAAGACCAACAAATCATTAACAATAAAGACCGAGATGTCTTACGCGTTTCAAAACCAACAAACAAAAACGTACCTAATCTGGGCCGGGTCAGGCACCGACTCAGTGGCCACCGCACCGGTTAAGACCGACCCCAAGTACTGGCACGTGTTCGCCAAACTGATCGCACCCGTCGGCGGATACTACCGGATGACTCACGGACTCCCGGCGTCCCAAATACGGCACGTGACTAAAGTGGCCGCTGCACCCGGTGTTAACGGATACGTTATGTTGTTTAATAAGCAATGCGGTTAGTATTAAGATAAATAAGTATCAACAACCAACTTTATTGTTGTGATAGCTAATATTAAATATTCTGAACATGTTGTTTTTTTAAGTTGCCTGCTGCCACATTTTGGTGAAAGCCAAATAATTGCTTATCATTGAATAGTAAATTATATTTTAGTCAAATTCGTAATAATTATAATTATGCCTTTTGTAAGTGCATGAATTAACCACAATGATAACCAGGTATGTTGGGAATACATCATTTTCCCTGTATAGTTAAAAGGTTATTAAATTGAAAGTTACAACATTTTGAGTATAAGTAATACAAAAGATTACAAATGTCTGCGGCTAAAATATGATAACTTTATTTTAAATTATAAGTGCTTATTATTTGTCACCAAAGTGGCGCAAGGCTATTTTATTTTATTTTTAAAAAATGTATAATCTATGTAATGGTAGACTATCTAATGGACTATTAATATTAGTAACGGTAGATGTTAATTATTAACTTGATAACTCTGAAATTTATAAATATTTTAATTTACAAAGGTGATGATACTAACCCAAATTTGGAGCAAGGCGGAGTCGTCAAATGCGCATACGTCCAAAATCAATCTAACCCTGGTCCACAGTTTTATTGGAAAATAATACCGAAACCAAAATGATAATTTTTTGCAATATACCAAGAGTATTTTAAACATGTTGTTATTATTTTATGGTATTATGTTTTGTTATTGCTTTGTTTGATTAGTTATGTTTTATAAAATGATGGTTTTAAAAATACTATTGTAATAGATAAGTAGTTTAATTATAAGTTATGGCAATTTTATCTAAATTATCAAAATGATTATTAAAGTTTAATTGATTTTTAATTGATTTAAATTAAAATAACTGATTGTTTTAGAATATTATAAATAATTATAGTTAATCAACTGAAAGTTGTGTAACCAATTAATTATATAGTAATTTGTGTTTTTTGCATTATTTTATTTTATTGTGCATGTTTAAATTTGTTATATTTTAATTGACATTTTTTTGTTTAATTAAAAATACACAAAAATAGTTTTAATTATATATTACAACTACTAATAATTATAGATGATTAAAAACAAGATAAAAGTACTGATAATAAAACTAATTCTACGAAACATTTTTAAATTATAACTTTTAACCAAATTTTGCCCCAAAAAGAGGTTTACAAAAAAACGGATTAAATAATATTCCTTAAACTTAAAATGTTTTACCACTCATATAGAGATACCCCTCACTCACCGGCCCCTCCACCGCCTCCACACCCACCTCATCGTAAACGTACTGTTCGGACACAACCCTCAGTCTATCGTAATGACCGGCACTGGGGTTGGGCTGAACGTACGGGTTGTACTCAGAATACCTGGCCATCGTCTCCAGCCCAGTCATTAGCCCTTCCGGTGCGTTATAACGTGATAAATTTGCTGCATTTTAAATAATTATATTTGTTTACTCTTTTTAAATTAATTATCAATAATTAAAAAGTGATTAAAAGTATTTACTACCTCTCTGTTTGTTATTTGAACGCCGCTTAAAGTAATATATCGTAAACAACACAACTATAATCACTAGCAATGTTGTCGTGATAATTGATCCCAATATGATGATAGTCTGATAGTGGATGTAATGAACCTTGGTAGATGGAGTTTTGTCAAAAGTTTGCCCACAAGTTAGATCATTTGTATCTAGGTTAATTGATTAGATTAGTTAATTATAATTCGTTGATTTTAATTAGTTCAATTTTAATTAATTCAATTATTAGTTTTTAACTTACAATTGTTTTGTGCAAACATATAGTCAAATGATGACACAATGATTGCGATAATTAACTGTAAATACTGTTGTAGATTAAACATCGAGATAATTATTGTTGCGATTAATTATTGATTAAAACTATTGTTATTTAGATTTTATTATTTAATTAATTATTTAATTACAAATTACTTTCATTTACTAATTGTATGAAATCAATGATATGTGTTATAAATGTTTACAAATATGGAGACGAGTAAGATTTATTTATGGAAATAAAGTAACCATGTTATAATGTTACCATAAAAGTAACATGATGTTTATAACATAACATGTTTATAATGATAGCATTTCTATCATTATGAATGAGAATATTAATAATGGAAATCCTGTAAATAATAGCATAAAAAAATTATAATGAAATATTTTTACATAATTTATAAATTATGTTGATATTAAAATGCCAACCCTTTATGGTCATTACATAAACACATTGAACAATATTTAATAAACACTATAAAGTGTCATATTGTTTACGATTGATTAAAATCTATTTATTAAATAATAAATTACTGTATTATATATTTGTTGTGTACATACTATGCATGGGATGTTTAGGGCCATTATAGGGGGTCCAATGAAATAATTTGATCGCAATGTTTTTTGTTTCACATTACACTTATATCGCAAACTAATCTAGATAACAGGATCTACATGATATGATTATTTATATAAGTTGCACAAAGGGTTATAATTGGCATTTTAATTGGCAAAATATTATTTTAGTAAAAGCTATGCTAGTGTATTAATATGGTGAAATCAATTTATTAATATATTACATTTATGAATTATGAATTAATACAATAGTTTGTATTATAGAAATAATTTTATGAAATTCTTATGAACGGCTGAAATACTTATCAAATAACATAATATATGGTGTTTTTAATTGTAATTGGATTTCAATTATTTTGTAACATTATATTGATATCAATGTTGAGTTTGGTTTTAAAATCATTATAATTTTTTTAAAACGTAAATATGTGTGAAATAATAATAATTGATTTCATTGACTGTTTATAAAATGTTTATAAATAAATCGTAGATAAATATTTAAAAGTTACACAGTTATTTTTACTGATGATTGAATATAAGATCATTGTGCTGGGCTCAGCTGGTGTGGGTAAAAGTGCTCTCATAGTACAATTTGTTCAAGGTACGTATTGTTACTTTCTCAAAAATAATCCTGTTCTCTATTAGTCTTGTACTTAATTTACATACAAACTGTATTTCATTAATCGTGATAGAGTTAATAGCTATTTAAATGGTATAACAATAAATATATAAGGTGATTTAATTATGACATTAACAACATTTCTCATAATTATTTTAACCATATAAGATCTCTCTCTCTCTCTTTCTCTCTCTCTCTCTCTCTGCAAATATTATTATTTAAATTTTAAAATCTAGAACAATAATATTGCTACAATTATCTAAACAATTTTGAACTGTACGAACACTTTGGCTAAATTATTTAAGGCATGTAAAATGTAAAACACTAACAAATCACCTTGCACACATACACCCATTGACCAGAAACGTTTGTGGACAACTACGACCCGACCATTGAGGACACTTACAGAAAGTACATGATAGTGGACGGACACCACTATATGGTGGAGATTGTGGACACTGCCGGCACCCGACAGTTCTCGGCGATGAGGGAACAGTACATACGGTGCGGACACGGCTTTGTACTCGTCTACTCCATAGCCGATAAGTCCACGTTCGCCGAGGCTCTGGCCATACGGCGCCAAATACTCGAGATCAGGGCTAATGGCACTGATGGTGAGACCGGTGGCACAGGGGTTGCCGTACACCCACCTCTACCCCCTATGATCTTGGTTGGCAATAAAAGTGACCTGATCGATGAGCGCGAGGTCAGTACATTTAGGGCGGCCCATACGGTGAACCGGGAGCTAAATGGCTGTCCATTTGTCGAGTGTTCGGCCAAATGTGAGATAAATGTGTCCGAAGTGTTTACGGATGTCGTCCGACAGATCAATGGCCAGAGAGGTAGTGATGGCACGGATGGAGGACCCGGTGCTAAGAAGCCCAGGCGCCGCAGTCGCTGGTTTTGTACCATCTTATAGGGGTTATATTTTTGATCATTTATGTTTTTTTGTAATTACTGTTTAGTTAATTAAACTTTTGTTACTTAGTTATTTTAGTGTTTGGCCAGCGATTGTTTAACTGATTGTTTTATTTAGATGTGCTGTTTTTTGTTTAATTTATTTTAACTTATTATAATTTGTAATTTTTGTAGTTAGTTGTTTTAATAAAATTATTGTGAAATAATTTATATAATTTATTACTTTTATATTAATTTAATCAATCGTTAACATCATATTATGTCTTAAATGATTTTGGTACAATTAATTGTACCAATTATACAAATAAATATTTAATTTATGTAAAACTTTAGTATATGCATGCAATTACAATAAGACAAACATTTAAAATGTAAAAAGGTACTTGCTGTATAAATAATGTAGTAACTTTGCCTTTGTTTCATACTAATTATATCGCAAACAACTTAATAAACTTGGTTAAAAGGTTAAGATAATTAAACAATGATAAATACTGTATTTTGGTACAAACATGCATAATGTATAAATTTATTTATAATTGTGGGATCATTTACCATTTAATCATTATGATAAAAACTCCCCATTTTACTTAACAAAACAATTATAATTAATCTAAATTAAATAGTAAGTATTAATTTAACCTTGATCAATAAACAACAGTTAATTAACCTTTTAAATATATAAATACTGTATATATTTTACTTTTAATTTATAATTTCAGTTAAATTGATTTTACACAAGCAAAATACAAATCAGTTAAAACACATTATGGTTAATGAGGACTTATTAAACAAGATAATAGTTATTATAATATTGACTATTATTAATGAGAAATGTAATTATATTTATAAAATCTATATTATTATAAACAACATATAATTAACTTAATTTTTAATTATAGTATGCGAAGCTTACTCATACGATTCATGTATGTACATTCTGTTTATTTTAATTGTTATTAATTTGATAATATTAACATGATATTTATATTTTAAAGATTCCACCACGGCCGACCCGACCAAGGTGCATCAAGCGATTGTTGACAAAATGACCAACACTGAATTGCCACTAAAAACCGATACCTATTATGTGGCACAAAATCATAAAACTGGCAATTGGTTGGTGTGGGCCGGAGGGGTGGGCACTGTTAGCCAGCATCTGGACATTAAAAAGATTAAGTATCAGCACATATTTCACAAAATGGATCATGGTTGGTACAAAATGATACACCATAACGCTAGTCATACTGTGCAGGTGGCTAAATCTGATAACGAAGGTTTCTACTATATCTACTCAAAGGAATGTGGTAAAAATTATTATTGTTATATAAAATAAATTAAATATTAATAATAATAGAATATTATAATTTATATAACCTAGCTAAAACAATGGTCGCTGAAGGGGCTTATGATAATCAGATTGTTTGCCACAATTCTGCCAAAAACAAGACTAATATCAATGACTGGCGATTCTTTGATGTAGAGGTCTATTGACAATCAATGGACACGGAGGGGGACCAACACCAGCGACGTGATAGATCTAGTAGGGAGAGTGTGGTGTGTGTGCCTAACCGTGCCCGTAATAATGTTGATCATGGTCATAACAATAATGTTGATATAAATGTACGAAGTAATTAGTGTTTATCTGATTCAGTTTAAGTAAATGAAATTTTTGTTTTATTTTATTAATCAAGTATTATTTATATTGTTGATATATTATCGATTGTATAATGTTTAAACATATTTTAACGTGTGTTAAATTATTTAACGATTAACATTACCGGTAATAATTTCAGTACTATAGCTCAAGGCAAGCTCATTTAATATAACTTTATTACAGTAATTATGTTTTTCAATTTTTTAAATAGATATTTATAAAAATAAATGTTAAATAAATACATATATGCAATGGTAATGTTAACTGTCTTTAGTATATGTCTCATGTATTCAATATCTAGAACTTATTATATAAACTTGGGCAAATAACTATTAAAATGTACGATAATAAACTGTGTAATAATTAAGTATAATATCAATACTTTATTAATGTTTCTATTCTTTCAGTGTAGAAAACTATTAATGTCGAAATACAAAACAATTATAGTTTAATTATAATAAATATATTGATTCTTAAAATAGATTTTTAGAATATATTTCATTAAGGTATGTTCAGTATTAGCAGTTGTAATAGAAAAGTGAATTATATTTAAAGTTTTGTAAAAGTGAATTATTAATTACAATGAATTTTAGTTTAAATATTTCTAAATACAATTTATTAATTGCTTTTTGTAATTTGTTTAATATTAGTAAATATTTAATTCTTATATTTATTAATTTGGATTACAAAACGAGATTAAATTTATTTGATTTTTCACTATTTATTGGTGGCATTCAATCGTTTACTACATTATTATTTATATTAGCATTTTGTTGGGGTTTAATAACAAAAGTAATGTTTCACACAAGGTTTGCGGCAAAACACATGAATTATTGGACAAAACTATTTGATATAATAAATGGCAGATTAAGTGGTCTCGAGTTGAATATGAGTGGTAGAAATAATGTACTTAATTACAAACTCGATTAAATAAAGTAAATATAATTTGTAATGTTTGTAAATGGCTTGCTAGTAAGTAATCCGGTTAATATTTTACTATAATTTATTGTTATTATTTGATATTTTAAAATATAATTATATTATGTATTTTAACATTTTCGATTTTTTTATTATTTTAGTTTTAGCATTAACCATGGTATTTACAATGATTTGTCTTAAATACTATTCATGGATACAATTCATTAAAACGGTTATATTTTTACTTTTAGTGTATATAACTTTATGTTTTATTGCATTTGATATTTTTAAAACACTTATATATTTTTATATAATTTGTTATTATTTTCAATTGAGAGCAAATATTTTAAATAAAAATGTAAAAAGATTTTCAACAAAATTATTTGTCTTTAAACTAAAAGTAACTGTATTTTACTTATTATTTATTATCACTTTCATGATCATAGGAGTCAAAAGCGTACCCCCAAGGGTACACAGCAATATTCAATGAGTTATAATTAAAGCATTGACTTTTAGGTGACAAAAACCAGTCCTAAAGTCACTATAAAAGTTACTTAAAAATGGCTAAAAAGGTGATTAAAAGGTGATTGAAAGTTATGAAAAAGTTAGTTATTCTGCATCAAAATAATCCATTCAAAGGTCAATAACATTC